CTGCACGACTCTCCCCCAGGCCCACCTTCCAGAGAAAGGGGCTGGTAGCTGCCCTGGGAGGATGCCGGGTGACAAGGACAGGACATGAAGGCATGTGACGGAGACTGCATCTGTGTCTAGGAGTCTTAGTTCTTCGTAGCTGCACATCTAAGATGTAACAAAAGAAGGCAGACAGCCAAACAATTGATGCATTCGATCTGTGGTGCTGGAGAAGACACCCGAAAGCCCCTTGGACTGCAAGGAGATCAAACTGGTCAATCTTAAGGGAGATCAACTCTAACTATTTACTGGAAGGACTGATGCTGAAGCTGAAGCTCCAGTATTTTGGTCATCTGATGTGAAAAAATGACTCATTAGAAAAGTCCCTGATGCTGGGAAAGATTGAGGGAAGAAGGAGAAGAGGGCATCAGAGGATGAGATGGCTGGATGGCATCACTGATGCAATGGACGTGAGCTTGGGCAAACTTTGGGAAACGGTGAGGGACGGGGAGGCCTGGCGTGCTGCAGTCCACGAGGTCACAAAGATTCAGGCACGACTGGGCAACTAAACAACAAGAAGAGGAACAAGACATAATTACAGGACATTTGCAAATTCTGGGAAGGGTGGAGGTTCTTATTACTCTCTTTATTAAGAGCCAACTTATACATATCAATAGCACTCATCATGTGCTAAGCATGCTTTATTCACTTAGTCGTGTCTGACTCTTTGCAACTCCATGAACTATAGCCCACCAGGCTCCTCTGTCCATGGAAGTTTTCAGGTAAGAATACTGGAGTAGGTTGCCATTTCTTTCTCCAGGGGATCTTCCCAACCCAGGGATCAAACCTGAGTCTCCTGCATCTCCTGCCTTGCAAGCAGATTCTGTACCATGTTCTAAGTAATTTGCATTAAAGACGTAAAGGTTCCATACTACTCGATTTTACAGAAAAGGCTAAATATCTTGCCCAAGGAAGAAGCACAAGCTGGAACGAAGATTGCCGAGAGAAATATCAATAACCTCAGATATGCAGATGACACCACCCTTAAGGCAGAAAGTGAAGAACTAAAGAGCCTCTTGATGAAAGTGAAAGAGGAGAGTGAAAAAGTTGGCTTTAAGCTCAACATTCAGAAAACTAAGATCATAGCATCTGGTCCCATCACTTCATGGCAAATAGATGGGGAAACAGTGGTTGACTTTATTTTTCTGGGCTCCCAAATCACTACAGATGGTGATTGCAGCCATGAAATTAAAAGACGCTTAGTCCTTGGAAGGAAAGTTATGACCAATCTAGATAGCATATTAAAAAGCAGAGACATTACTTTGCCAACAAAGGTCTGTCTAGTCAAGGCTAAGGTTTTTCCAGTGGTCATGTATGGATGTGAGAGTTGGACTGTAAAGAAAGCTGAGTGCCGAAGAATTGATGCTTTTGAACTGTGGTGTTGGAGAAGACTCTTGAGAGTCCCTTGGACTGCAAGGAGATCCAACCAGTCCATCCTAAAGGAGATCAATCCTGGGTGTTCATTGGAAGGACTGATGCTGAAGGTAAAACTCCAATACTTTGGCCACCTGATGCGAAGAGCTGACTCATTGGAAAAGACCCTGATGCTGGGAGGGGTTGGGGGCAGGAGGAGAAGGGGACGACAGAGGATGAGATGGTTAGATGGCATCACTGACTCAATGGACATGGGTTTGGGTGAACTGCGGGAGTTGGTGATGGACAGGGAGGCCTGGTGGGCTGTGGTTCAGGGGTCGCAAAGAGTTGGACACGACTGAGCGACTGAACTGAACTGAACTGAACTGAAGGTCATTCAACTCAGCAGAAGTGGGATTCAAACACTCCAAAGTCCATGATCTTAGCAACTTCTCTAGGTCTGCTTATCCAAATGCTCAGCTTACTTTATTTAAAATAAATACATAAATTAAAAAATTAAATTAAAATAGCCTGACAATGGCAATACAAAGGAAAATGTAGTGAAATTTCTTAAGAAGGTTCTTAGATGTGTTCGGAGCACAGACATGACTTAGGGAAGAAGGTACGGTGGTTGCAGAGGACTCAGCAGAGTGGGTGCTGACGTTCCGCCCAGGCCTTGCCGGGCCGTGGCTGTGAGGATGGGAGGGCGAAATGCCAGGAAGAAGAAACTTCGTGTGGACAGGCGCAGATTTAGGGAAGTTAAGGACGGATTGAGGATTAGCAAGTTGTATTATGTTTGGCTGGCACATGGGGGGACAACTTGGTGAGGGATATAGGTTGGGATCTTGAAAGGGAGGGTGAGAAATGAGTGTTTAATTTGGAAACAAGGCAAGCCCTTCAAGGCAGCACCTCGGAGCTGCTCTGTGGGAAGGCAGCGAGGAGGGCGGGCTGGCCCCCAGAACAGCTGCTGTGGGTGAGGAGCCCCTGTGGCACTGTGAACAAAGACAGCGGCGGAGAAGAGAAGAAGCCATACGTGTGTGTGTGTGTGTGTGTGTGTGTGTGTGTGTGTAAGGCGTGGTTTCAGGAAGCATCCATGTATTCCACAAATATTTACAGAGAACCACTATGAACCAAGCAATATTCTAGGTGGTCGCAAGATAGAAATGAACAAAGCAGAACTTTCTGCCCTCGTGAAAACTGCATCCTAGGCAGGAGACACGAGAAAAACAAGTAAATACAGTAGGACTTCCCTGGTGGTCCAGGGATTAAGAATCTGCCTGCCAACGCAGGAGACACGGGTTCAATCCCTGGTCCGGGAAGATTCCACATGCCCTGGGGCAACTGAGCCCGTATGCAACGACTGCTGAGCCCACGAGCCGCACCTCCTGAAGCCCTCGCGCCCTAGAGCCCGGCTCCACAACAAGAGAAGCCACTGCAAGGGCAAGGGGAAGCTTGGGCAACTAGCTCCCGTCCCTCTCTGCAACTAGAGGAAGCCTGCATGCACCAAGGAAGACACAGCCAAAAGTAAATAAATAAAGGAAGAAAAAGATGCACATGTTCGACGGTGATAAGCACTTTGGAGACAGATGAAGCAGGGAAGGGTGCTGGGGGCCTGTCTGTATACGTGCACAAGTGTGTGTAAGCGGGGAGGGATGGTAAACAGGGATGAGGGGAAGGCACGCTGGAGTAAAGGCCTGGAGAGCAAGGGGTGCTGAGATGATATCTAGGAGTCTAGGACAGGGGTATGGTTCCACCAAAAGGCAAGCTGGTAGGTGGAGCTGGGTGGGAGGAGGAAAGACTGAGTCTGGGGTCCTGGGGGTAGGGGCAGGCAATAACAGGGACCACACCCTGTGTGTAGTGTGTAACATGTAACATGTGTTACATGTAGTCACTACATGTAACATGTAGTGTGTAACATGTAACATGTAGTGTGTAGTGTGAAACACGCATGCACAGAAGTCATTGCTAACCGGGTGAGAGACCTGCTTCAGCAGCTAACAAGGACGAGAGAACCATCCAGAGAGCCAGGGCGATCGTTCGCTCAGCCTGGACTGTGTGCCCCTACCAAAGGGTTTAATCGTTACCAGTACCCGGAAGCCTTAGGGCATCCCTAGCCGTGGACAGGATTGACTCCGCAACAAAGGACAACAGGATTAAGAGCTAACTTGTGAAAGGGTACAGCAGGGGTCCGGCACTTTTTTGGCACTTCATATGTAATAATTTGTTCAACTGTCACAGCAAGCCCGGGAGAGATGTCTCATTTGACATGAGAAGACTGGGCTGGCCAAGTAAGGTGACCAAGGTCACAAGCTGGTGAACCAGACAGCCTGGCTCCTGTCCCAACTCTGGATTTAAAAAAATAAAAAAGTCAGCCTGCCCTCTACCAGCTTCCCTGCCCTCTGAGAAAAGAAATCTAAGGGTAGAATGCTTTTTGGATAGCTGGGGTGGGGGTCTGGGGAGACAGCTGGAAAATTCTCGAGAAGGGGGAGGCTAGGCCAGGGTAGGTGGGAGCTGCTAACAGTGCAGGGTGGTCAGCACACGTGAAGGCTGCAGCCTAGAAGGGGCTTCCCACCCCGCCCGGCGAAGGCATCGGAGCGCAGACGCGGACACGGACAGACGGACCAGCAGCCCGGGCACGGAGCAGAGGCCCCGAACCCCAGACGGGACGCAGCTCTGCCAATCTTGCGAGAAAAGTCAGGAAAAGAAAACCAGCCATTCAAACCGGTCAGCAAGCACGCTTTCCAGACGGTTTCAGGCAGAGAAGAGGCCTTGGCTAAAGCAACCTGCAAGCGCCCGAGGTCCCTTCTCTCTTGGAACTCCAGGACTCCGCACCAAGACGCTCAGCCTCTGTGGCTTGCCCAGCTGCTCCTTTTGAAAGTTGGACAATATCTGAGATGTCGCCAAGAATCTAACCTCGAGGAGTCCGAGTTCTGCAGTCGGTCCACTGTCCTGGGACCGTTCTGTCTGGGGAAGCGCGGGGCGGCTCTGCTCCGAGGGGACGAGGCCCGGGGGTGGGAGGCTTCCCCGGGGCACAGGAGTGGAACTCGGAGCGCGGGCGTCCTCGGTCCCCCCTCCACCCCCACCCCCACCCCCGTCCCCCCAGGTTGCAGCCGGGACCCTCAAGAAACCCAGTTCCAGGAGCCCGGGAGTTGTTAGGTGGCCCTGGAACTTTCTTGTCTGGAAGCCCGACCCAGGCCCGCCCGCGGACCCGGCTGCTGGCAGGGACCGAATGGAGCCGCGCGCCAGCCCGGGAAGGCTGTGCGCGTCACTCGCAGTCCTGGGCCAGGTCCCCGGCGCGCGGTGGCGCTCCGCCAGGCGGCGCCACCCAGGCCCCGCCGCGCGCCCACCCGGCCCCGCGGCGGCGCCCCCCGGGGGAGCGCGGCCCGAACCTGTGAGGACGCCCCCCAACTCCCCACGCCCCCGGGGGCGGGAGGCGGGGGGCCCGGGGCCCGAGGAGCGCCGTCCGCTGGCGCGGCGCCCAGGGGCGTGAGCCGGGCAGCGTGGGGGAGGCGGCCGGGGCGGAGGAGGCGGCCGGCCGGCCGGCGGGTCACTCGGCGGCCCCGGGCGGCGGGCGGCAGACGCGCTCGGGGGAGGCGGGCGGGCGCACCATGCCGTCCTTCGATGAGGCGCTGCAGCGGGCCGGCGAGTTCGGGCGCTTCCAGCGGCGCGTGTTCCTGCTGCTGTGCCTGACGGGCGTCACCTTCGCCTTCCTCTTCGTCGGCGTGGTCTTCCTGGGCAGCCGGCCCGATCACTACTGGTGCCGCGGGCCGAGCGCCGCCGCGCTGGCCGAGCGCTGCGGCTGGAACCCCGAGGAGGAGTGGAACCGCACGGCGCCCGCGCTCCCCGGCCCCGCGCCCCCCGAGGGCCGCGGCGACGGCCGCTGCCAGCGCTACCTCCTGGAGGCGGCCAACGCCAGCGCCGCCCCCGGCGCGCTCAGCTGCGCCGACCCGCTCGCCGCCTTCCCCAACCGCTCCGCGCCGCTCGTGCAGTGCCGGGATGGCTGGCGGTACGTCCAGGCCCACTCCACCATCGTCAGCGAGGTAAGGGGCCCGGTGGCGGCGGGCGGCGCGCGAATCCCCGCGGAGGCCGGGAGTCCAGCAAGCCGGCCGCCGGGACGGTGCGCGGAGGCTGAGACCAATTGGTTACCTCCCGGCCCCCGCCAGCTTCATCGTGCACTCGGAAGGGCTGCGTCGCAACTGCTCGCCTGGGGTTGTGGCTTTTCTTTTTTCCCCTCTCTGCTAGGGAATTAACGGGGCTTCCCTGGTGGCTCAGCTGGTAAAGAATCCGCTGCAATGCGGGACAACTAGGTTCGATCCCTGGGTTAGGAGGATCCCCTGGAGAAGGGAAAGGCTACCCACTCCAGTATTCTGGCCTGGAGAATTCCGTGTTAATGGAGAGGTGCTTTGGTTGCAGGAGTAGGTGAACGAAAACTGCCCTAGAAGCCCAGGCCTAAGATGCTTCGTGCACGCCTCCTCGGGGATCCGAGCATCCAATGGGATGCGTGTTATCTCTGAGCTGTGTGTGAGCAAGTAGTCGGGAGGGACAGGGTGGACGCTGGTAGAGAACCGCAGAGTCTGGGGCGAGCGACACGAAACAGGTCCGCGCCGGCTGTTGGTCTCCCGCCGGCAAAAAAGAAAGGAGAAATCCAATTTTGAAGGCAGCGCCACCCACGTGATTATCTGAAATGCAAAAGGACAGAGGTCGAGGTTATCCCGACAGCATGATTTTGGTAAAACTCCTTTGGGGGAAAGAGCAACATTTAAGAGAAGTTGGGAAAGCTGAGGTTTTGAATTAAAAAAAAAAAAATCCCCCCCCCCACAAGGCATGCAGAGTGAACACCCCACTTACTGTGGGTGGCTGCTGGGGCCCGGGCAGGGGCACTCCTCACGGTTGGGGTAGCTGGTGTGGGCAGTCCCCACTGGCTTTTTGGCTACGTCTGGGTCGCAAAGAGCCTGACATGACTGAGCGATTTCACTTTCACAAGGACACAGGGCATTGCAGGTTCGGTGCCCTCTCCCTTGGTGGCAGGACTGTCTCAACCCCAGGCTGGCAGTTTGCATCTTTATTTGGTTCGTTCTAACCTTAGCTCATTCTAACCACTGAGCTCGGGTGGATGGGATGAGCAGTTTTATTGAACTTTGTCTGCAGTCACAGATCGGTTGAATTTCTAACAAATGATTGTGCCCAGGCAATTTGGGGTGGGGGGGGGGATGTCTTTGATTGTCATGAGGAGTTTGAAGGACCGCCTTGAATTATGGGGGAAACACTGGCTTCAGGGTTTGCAGCACCTCTTCTGCCTGTTAACAGTGTTCTTTGGCCTGGTGACAACATCTCTCTGGTGTTGGAATTGTCGATCTTTGAGGTTATACATGCTCTGTGTGTGAACACGCTGTGTAAGGTCCTCTGCTAAGAGCTCTAGAGATCAAACCCCGGTCAGGCCATATCAGCGTGTGTCTGGGGTACTTTAATTTCTACCTAATTCGTGGGTCACCATCAGGACTGCTTTATAGACTGGTGGTGGTAGGGATTTCACTCTTGAAATGAATGGGCGTGGGAGAGGGTGTTATCACCCATACTTCCTTCAAGTTACATCCAAGGTGGCTGCTTCTATTTCATCCAGCATGACTGCTTAATGCTACTTTCCGAGCAAACCAGAAGATGCCCCTTGGAGAGTAGACACCTGATTTTTGAAAACGTGAATCTCAAATGAAGAATGAAATGACCCTTAAAAGCAAGAGGCACATACACTGCAGTGGGTTCTCCTGAACACATGACCCACACACATCAGAGAGGAGAGACGTTGTGATCTCTAACCCCAGATACCTTAATCTGGACTTCCAGGTTTGTCAAGCATTCCAGGGTTATTTCAAAAGAGGGATGGTTATGAAGTCTTCTGAAGCTCGAAAAGGCACTGTGGAAGATGTGAGCACCACACATCAGGACCTGGGACTGCCTCCAGGTGGCTGTGTGGCTTGGGTGAATTGCTTGACCTCTCTGGGTTTAGCATTCTCATCTGTAGTATCAGGGGATGGATTAAGCCCTTTGTAGTCCTACTAGCGCCATCAGTGACATCACTGGATGGCTATTCTCAGTGTGATCAGCACAATGACAAAAATCTTTCAGGAAAAGTAAAATGTTATCCAGAATCCTCTCTTAAGGCCTCTGACAAGTTTTAGAAATATATTAGAGATTATTTTTTCTTTTCTTTTGGTCCAAAACTTTGCTTCTTCTAGTTAGTTTTTAATATTTTGATTCTTGAGAGGAAGCCCTCTGTCTATTCAGGAGGTTCAGCATCTAGAACAGTTCCTTCCCTCTTAGAGTTCTTCACTGCTAATACACTGCTGTCTTCGGTTTTGCATGTGATCCAATTCGGGCTTATTTTTCATATTCTGTCAGAGTGATGAGAGGAACTGTAGTTCTATCTCTGACTCACAGAGTGTACACAGTGTGTTTTCAAAGACTTAAAACTCGAACATATTAATCATGGAAAGGGAGGGTGAATTGGGAGAGCTCAGAAGGTGGAAGGGGGGCTCAGATTCCAGAATGACCCCCTGTGGCTGTCATATTTAATCCTTGCACCACTGCAGGGAAGAGAGCATTGTCCCAGCTTTGCAGAAGGGGAGCCTGAGGCAGGAGAAAGTGAAGGGACCAGCCAGCGTCCCAGACCGTCCATGTAGCCAAGTTGGGTTTGGATCCAGGGGGTCTTGATTATGACTCGGTCTCCTTTGGGCCAGGCAGTGCTTGGAGTCCTTGGAACAGGTCCATGCAACATGATGCCGGGTCGCTCACCCTTCAGAACCTGCAAGAAATCTTGTTGAACCTCCTGTTTACTTAGTTACTATCCTGGTCTCCACTGACCAGTGGAGTCATTTTGTTTCGTTTCGCAGTGTCGGGAACATGATACGATGCAGATGGGGCGGCTGTCTTCCCTGTCGTGGGAATGGCTGTCTGTGCTCCCGGCGTGAACGCTGCAGAATGGGCACTTAAACCTCGGCCACCCCTTTTTTCATCTTCCAAAGCGAAACAAGCGCCAAGGGGTTAAGTCAGAAGTCAGTGCCAAGTGCACGGCTGTTTTGGTCCAGCTCTCCCTCCTGTTTATCCTGCTCTAGGCGAGGCAGTGGATTTTTCACCTACATTGGAGGTCCTCAACACAGACTTTTCTGATGTCTGAATCTCAGCCTTATGTGGCTGCCAGGCATTGGGCGGAGGAAAGCATGATGTGTTGCGGACAAGTCCAGGCACTTGCCACCCAAATATTTCAGCTCCCTCCCCAGGGAGTGAGTCTTTGAAACTGATGCTGAGACTTTGAAATATTTGCTTGGTGGAGGATGGAGCGGAGGGCTCCTCTCTCACTAGGAACAAGGCTTCAGAGCACCATTAAAAATAGATCGAATCGCCCTTTCTAGATTACTCTTTCTCCCACACACAAAACATGAAGGTCCATTTGAAGGAAGTGGCTGCCCCACTGAAGAAAGCGGAGCCTGCTTTGAACTTGGGGGCTGTCCTGGTGTTTCTCGTATCTCTGCTCTGCTTCTTGCACATCCATCCCAGAACAGGAGCCCAGCCTCAGACATCAGAGCCATGCGCGTCTGGTCCTTGGTGTCCCACCAGCGTGGAGGCGCCCTGCTGTGAATACTGGGGAGTGCAGGTTAGCCAGGCTCCTGGTTTATTCTGAGCTGAGTTTCTGGTTTGCTCTGGGCCCTTGGGAAAGATCTTCCTTTTCTATTGTTTTTATTTTTAACATGACGTGTGCCTTCCCTGGGTTTTTCACTGAATCAACCTCACCAGAGCATCTATTTTATTATTACTTCAAAGGATCGACTATGACAGTGTTCATTTTCTCTTTCTCTCCTTTTATTTCTTTTTAGTTTTCATTATATATTTTTAAAGTTATTTTATTGGAGTATACTTAATTTCTACTCTACAGCAAATGATTGTTAGGCATGTACTCACGTTCTTTTTCATATTCTTTTCCACAGGATATTGAATATAGTTGCCTGCACTCTATGGTAGGTCCTTGTGGCACTTAGATTCTTCATTTCAATTCTTTCAGTGGTTACCCCTGAAATCTTACCAAGTTTACTTACTGAGTCTGCATTGAATACTGCAGCCTTCTCCTAAACAGTTTAGGATCGTAAACACTTTCATTCAGTCGCTCCTATGTCACAGGCATTAGCAGTCAGTATTCTAGGTTTGTTTTTTCATTGTTAATTTATGGATTTTGTGTAGATCATGTATGTTTGGTTCACATTTGCCCTTTATCTACTCATCATTCCATGCCATTTCACTTTGCCTGCTTCTTTTTCATGTACATCTTTAAAACATTTTTATTTAGTTTGTATCTCTAGACGGCGAATGTTCTCCACTTTTGTTTCTATGGAAATTACTTTATTTCACATTATTCTTGAAAGATAATTCTGCCAGGTAAATAGTTTTATTTTGCCAGTTATTTTTCCTTAGCCCTTTCAGGATGTGAGCTCTGCCTCGAAGCTCTCATTTTCTTTTGAGAAGTCTGTCGTCAGTCTAATTGTCCTTTTCTCTTGAGTTGTGCCTCGGTGGGTATTTTTTGTCTTCATCCATTGCTTCTAAAAGGTCCCTGGAGTATAGTAGGCACTCAGTAAATAGCTGTTGAATGAACCAGTTGTATTTTCTTTAACTTCAAATTTTATTTCTTTGGTGGGTTCTGGAAAATTCTCAACTATTATCTCTTCATTTCTTATTTTCTACTCTTTCCTTCTGAAATTCTAATTAGACTTAATTTCGACCTTCTTTATCTGTCCTTTATGACTCTTAACCTTTGTCTCATATTTCCCGTTTCAGTATCTGTATGATGGTTCAGATAGCTTTTCAGACTTATCTGTCAGATCACAATGTTTCTATTTAGCACTATCAAATCTGCTGTTGAATGCGTTCATTGAAGTTTTTTATTTCAGCCCTTATCTTTTTCATTTATCAAAGTCATATTTGTTATCTTTCAGATATCCCTGGTCATGTATTGGTAGCCTCTTATTGCTTGCTCATTTTTGTGTTTCCATTTTTC